AACAGTAATGTTTTCCTAAGACCATTAGGAACTATTTCAAAGCCAGGAAATATATCATCACATTTGTTTTAGAAAGGTCATTTAGTTTGCCATGTGGAGACTGGATTTTTAAAGAGATCCTCAGAGACCAGTTCAAAGACTGTCATGGTTATCTAGGCACAAAACTACTGGTGGCCACGACTGGGACCCGCCAGAAGAGACAGGAGCCAGGAGACAGATAAAAGCAGTGTCTGTAGGGCTGGGCACTCCCAAATAATTGAAGAAAAACTCAAGTCTTGTAGAAGCTGTGATGTGAAATAGAAGTCCAGGCTTCTAGAAGTCTAGAAGTTCTTAAGCCACTTTCACATACATGAAAATCCTAGTATGGACTGCTTTAAAACCTTGTATAATTCCTTCAATCCATTGAAAATCACCTCAGAGGCAGCTTCCTTCACCTCTGTCACATTATTTGTCCTCTCCGGTGGTGAGAGGCCACCCTGTAGACCATCACACTCCCAAGGGGCTGCTCCCCACACAAGGCACCACGCTGTGCAAGAAAATGCCCACTCAGTTCTTTGCCAGCCCACAGCCCCATGGCTTCTCCAGGTGTGGGCCTAGAATATGTGTCTGCTAAATGGCTGGACTAGAATTCTGAAGGGTAATTTCTCTCCTACCAAGATGACAAGCGGGTTTCCAAAGACAGATGTGTGGTTCCATTGGAGAGAATCTATTTTGAGCATAAGCATCTTTGGCCGGGCACCATGGAATGGTGGGGAATGTGTGGAAAACTGGACTGCTTTCTTTGACAGTGGCTTTCTGGAATTGCTGAGTGAAGGGGGAGCAAAGAGCCCTCAACTGTGGAAGAGGCAGTGATGAGCCAGAGTAGACCAACTAATGCCTTAGTGCTTTGTCCCCAGTTAAATCCTTCTCAGATGCCAATGACATGTCCTATACCCTATCAAAAGAAACATGAAGCCCCTCCCCAGAACTGGAGAAAGTCCCTGTCAAATGGGAATTAGGGTCTGAGCACGCATGTGCAGACTGATGCTCATACGATGAGGTGCTGGACCCGGGAGTGAGGCTTCTAAGGTTTACATTCCATTTAAATTTTGATGGCTATGCAAGGCAGAAAAATTAAGTTTAGAAATCAGACATATCCTTTATAATTAGCGTTTTCATTTTCTTTGCATCTATACCCAGAAGTGGAATTGCTGGGTCATAAGTCCCAGTTTTAATTTTGTGAGGAATCTCTGTACTGTTTCCCATACTGACTATACCTGCAGTGCACCAGGGTTCCCTTTTCCCCACCGTCTCCCCAACCAGCGCTTATTTTTGATAATAGCCGTTCTGACAGGTGTCAGAAGATACGTCATTGTGGTTCTAACTTGCATTTCTCTGATGAATAGTAATGTTGAGCCACTTTTCATGTGTCTGCCACTTACATGTCTTCTTTGTATTCTATTCAATTGTACTTCAATTGGGGGAATAAAAAAAAAAAAACAGGTTTGCTGGGAATCACAGCAAGACTGGTCATTTCTGCAGTGGATTATTTGCCTTTTCCTCCTGGATGGAGTGTGCTGTGCCATCTGGTGGACATGGTGGTAACTGCATCTTCCCAAGCATCTCTGGCTCCTAATTGTCTTCCACCCCGGAGTGGCTGAGAAGGTGGAAGGGGACTGCCTCACTCTTGCCTTCTAAAGGCCAGATTTGAGGCTTCCCCAAGGAAAGCCAGAACATTATGAGGACGATGACAGTGTTAGGCCAACACTGTCCTCTCACTCTGCTGTTTATCAATACATCATCTATGATGGTCACAGCCAATATCTGCTGGCTCCTTGAATCTGTTCATTGCAAAGGAGATGGGACAGGCCTGCAAGCTGGCTTCTGTCAAAATAAAGTTCCAATATTTTTAAATATTTCTAGAAGGAGCAAGGTAACAAAAAATTAAGGTTGGCGACAGCTTTTTCCTGCAGGTAGCGTGCTGGTTTTCTTTTCTGTGGTTATTGAGCTTGAAGTAGGGAGAATAGCGTATACATTCAGCCCAGTTTGTCTTAGGCAAAAAGAGAAGCACAGAAACAACTTGGGGCGCAAAGGTGTAGTTCTGAGCTTATTTGAGTGGGTGTGTGACCACTTGCAGCCAGTTCCTTCAGGTTTTGTGAGAAGCACACTGGTAGCTGTGCTGGGGAGCTGGAGTATCAGCTGCAGTGCCTCGAGCCCGCTGTCCTTCACACACCGTCTGTGACAAGCAGTGTTCTCTGTACGGTGGGAATAATAATAGGACTGCCGTCGGGGGTATTTGGCTCCTCATTTCAAACATTTCAAACTATGCCACTGTCTCCATGGAGATGAGTGTGAACCACAGTGCACCTGAAGGAAGTGCAGTTTCAGAAGTGAACTGCGTCAAGGGATGAGAGGCCAGAGCTCTGGGCTCCATGTGATGGTGCTCCCTGTCCACATAGGGGCCTATATCCAGGAGGCAGGGGTGGGCCTCCAGCCCCTGCCTCATGAGCAGCTCCCATACTCTCCCCCGTGGCCCCATTTGATGGCCCCTTTGAGACAGTATCAACAGAACCTGGCCTGCAGAGATCTGGTTGATGTGGGCAGGAAGTGTGCTGATCACCTCCCAGTGTGCAGGTAGCTTCTGCAAGTCACCTGTGGGGGTGCAGAGTTTAGCATGACATTTGAGGACAACCTGCCATTTCTTTTTTTTAAAGACTTATTTTATGTATGTGTAGAAGAACTGGGGTGTAGGCCAGAGGTACAGAGGGTGAGAGGATTCTCCAGAGACAGAGTGGGGAGCAGAACAGGCAGATCAACGAAGTACACTGCTGAGGAGAGCAGCGGGTAAGACAGGAGAGTTGTGCTGCGCCCTGGGGTCAGCTCCCTGGCTGGGGGTTGACTCTGGCCACAGTGGTAACAGCATGTGACTTAACCCCTAGGCCATCAGGAGGCCCAAGCCCTATCATTTCTTCTCTTGCACTAAAGAGTTTAAGCTTTGGACTGTGTTCTGAGGTCACCATCACCTCCTCCAAGAAAGATGTGTACTGAGCATCTATTGTGCACAGCCTGTGCACAGGAATGTGGCAGCCCTGTGAGGTGCGCCTTGTGATTTCACCCATTTTACAGGTGTGAGAACTGAGATGCTGTGGCCTGGTTAGTCCACCTGGCTGCTGGGAGAGGTCAGGATGTGGGGGTCTTGGCAGTGGCGCATCTGCGTCTCCCTGAGCACCAGGCACAGTGCCCTGAACTTAGGAAGAGCTTCTTAAAGGCCTGTGGGGCTGAGAATGGAAGGATTCATGTACCAGAAGGACATTCAGAAACAGAGGCAGATGCCCAGCGAGGCTCTGAAAGACCAGCTATGTAGAGCGGCAGCTGGCAAATCATCCATTTAAAATTCAATGTCATCTGGCCAGCAGCCTGCTGGTCCACGGCCAGCCACGTACAAAGGCTGATTTGATCAGCTTTGGCTCTCTCATTTCAGGCACGCCACCTTCCAAAGAAGTGCCTGTTGGGAACTACCCGTTCATAGTCACCTCTGACGATGGAAGGCAGGTTCCTGTGGTCCAGGCCTATGCCTTTGGCAAGTACCTAGGCTACTTAAAGGTTGAGTTTGATGAAAAGGGAAATGTCGTCACTTCACATGGAAATCCCATTCTTCTCAACAGCAGCATTCCTGAAGGTATGTGAAATCTGGGGAATGTTCCATCACCTCACTCTGGAATTTTTGTTATGGCTTCCTCTGGTTCATGTTTCAGGACAAGACTGTAATACTTTTGAAGAATTTAACTTCTTCATTCAGTTCACCCTTTTCACAGATACAGCGATTTAAAAATAGACCCAAATGCCAGAAACTCCCAGTGCCTTCTTCAAGTCCTCCCAGCATCAAACCCTGTGTCATGGCTTCTTGCACTTTTTCAAGCTTCTTGCACATTTTCAAGCTTGACCCCAGCCTGGGAAAGCCACACTCAACTCATGACAGAAGAGCACTGATATTGAAGCTAGGGGTTCTGATTGGGTACAGCAGGGCACACTCCTGCCCTCCTTGCCTGGAGCAGTTATGCCTGGGGCAAGCCACCTGGTCTTGATGGACTTGTTTATTTATCAAGTGAGGGAGGGTCTCTCCTACTCTTGTCTGGGACTTAGAGTAAAAATGGGTTTTTCATCACCCATTTTCACATAGTGGACATAAGCATGGCCTATGCTGCTTCCTTTCCTATTTGCCATCAGGAATGAGGGGAGATGGGTGGTGAGGTGCCACCTGCCATGGGAGCCTGTAGTCACAAAACCAGCCTCGCTGCAGCTGGAAAGAGGCCCAAGGGGCCTCAGTTGGCCCTTTATGCTGGCCCTGGCCTCCCAGTCATCACTACGAATGCATCTCAGGTGGACTAACACAGTTATAATTAGCTGGTGTTAGGCCACTCAGCATAACTTTTTAAATTAAGATTCATTCTGTTTCTTGCTACCAGGAAACAAAATAGAGGTTCCTAAGAGAAATTTCACAATCAAAACCAACATGTACATATAATGGCAAAGAAGCTAAGTGATGCCTGATTCCTTCTCCAAAGGAGAAGGAGCAGTGTGATACCTGTTTCAACAGAAAGCTGCCTTTTTCCCCCTTTCAATTAGATCCAAGCATAAAAGCAGACATTAACAAATGGAGGATAAAATTAGATAATTATTCCATTCAAGAATTGGGGAAAACAATCGTCTATTTGGATGGCTCCACTGAATCCTGCCGCTTCAAAGAATGCAACATGGGCAACCTGATCTGCGATGCCATGGTGAGCGGCCCACCCAGGTGGAGGAGGGATGGTGGAGTCCTCTACCAGGAGGAGTTAGGGCAGGTGCAGAGGGGCAAACTGGTAGCCCCTTTGAAGGTCTTTAAAAGCTCCCTACCCAGCTGGAAAAGATCATGCTTAGTGAGATAAGCCAGAAAGAAAAAGAAAAATACCGAATGGTTTCACTCATAGCAGGAGTATAATGGACCAGGCGAGAAAATAATAAGAATAATGAACAGTCATGTACCAGAGACATTTTGTGGGGGTGGAGTGGGGAATGGGATCAAACGGTGTTGGGGGGGAGGGAAGTGCACAGGACTATGGTGATGGCACATGGGTGACTCGGTGATGGGAAACCCATGGGGATTACAATTGAGATGAAAAAAAAATGTACAAAATGATGTAAAAACAAACTATTATATTTATAAAAAAAAAAAAAAAAGAAGAAGAAGAAGAAGCAGCTCCATACCCATTATAGAAAGCAGTATGGGATGTCTCAAGACATTAAAAATGGGTTTACCACTCAACCCAGTAATGCTAATCCTCAGCACCTATCAAAAAAACTTAAGGACACTAGTTTGAAAGGAAATCTGCATTCCTATGTTTATTGTAGCACTACTTACTATAGCTACACTCAGGAAAAACCTAAGCACCCAAGAACAAGGAGTGGATCAAGAAGATGGGATACATACACACAAGGGAATACTACTCAGCAGTCAGAAGATAAATTCATGCCATTTGTTCCTACATGGATAGCGCGTAAGAGGATAAGTCAGGAGAAAAAGAAATACTAAATGGTGTCACTAATATGTGCAATATAAAGTAGCTAAATAGATGAAAAGACAGGCTGAAAAACTAATCCTTGATAGTTGATATAGACCAAAAGAGACATCAGTAGAGGGGAAGGAATGGGGGAAGGAGAACAAAGAAGAAAGGAAGCAAAGTGTTCTGTGGTGGTGAAATATGGGTAAATTGGTGGTGAGTACACAATGGTGACAATACCCAGTGGGGGTACCCCAATAGTACCTGTTAAAAATATTTTTTTTTAAATCCATAACCACACAAAATCTAGACATGGATTCATACTGAGTTCCTTAGGACGGGGTCCAAAGTAGGTCAGCTGACCATCGCTTGATTGCTTTACAGGAACTGATGAGTTTAAGGTGTTTATCTTAGGTGCCTGAATTGTGGATGTTGCTTCTTTTTATAAAATGATGTGAAAACACAAACTCTGCTACTCTAGAGATAGACATAGTACATAAAACACATTTGTATGGACCAGAGAGTTTGCACTGACCTGTACTCTTAGCTCCACAGAGGCTGGACTTGTGTGACTGGAACCTCCTCCCCAAGTAAGAAATGACAACATACAGTTATTTTGAGAATAGTAGATCCTACAGTGGAGTAAGTTCATCCCTGAAAATTGCCTGTGTGCCCACTTGTCTGCAAAGTAGCTGTGGTCCTGGAACCAGAAGTCCATGCGCCTTTTAAGTGGAGGTGCCATTTGGTTGCCCACCGACAGGGCAGGTGTCCATGCTGTGCCAAGGTGTCTCCATCAGACTCGTCTCTCCCACAGCCTCAAAGCCCACACACAAGGGACCATTTCTTGCTGCTTGGCATGGAACCTAGGAAACAGCCACAATTTTCATGCTTCTAATGCCAGACAAGCCTGGCTCCCTGGCCCCCTGCAATCAATGAGAGACATAGTTAAAGTGAAACCAATATATAACCGGAAAGAAAGACCCCAGATGGTTAGCAAGGCTAATCTCTCTTAAGAGACTGGGCGAGTGTAAAAGACCTTGCTTTTGCACTTTCTTTTTTCCATATGGAAAGTAGTTATTTCTTGTAACTAAATACATATTTGCATTTAGTGACCTTGATGCTCCTCAGTTTCAGAAAGCTGCTTCTCAAAATTGCCAACATGGAAATCAGTTAGGGACCTAGATGTGGAGGCCAGGATTCTTGTTGGCCTGAGAATGGGAGTTGAAATGTTTTCAGGCTGCCTGAGGAAAGACCATGGAAGAGCAGCAGCACCACAGGGCAGGCCGATCCACACGGCAGAGAGCCCATCTGAGAGCCCACTTCTCTGGAAGCACAGAGATCTTTAAAAAAAAAAAAAATTATTTATTTATTCGTACAGAACTGGGGTACAGGCCAGGGTGTGATGCGGAGGGTGAGAGAATTCATCAGAGACAGAGCGGGGAGCAGAACAGGCAGATCGACAGAGTACACTGCTGAGGGGAGCAGCGGGCGGGTCAGGAGAGGTCTGCCACGCCATGTGGTCACCTCTGGGGCAGGCAGACTCATGCGGAAGTGGCTTAAGCTTCTTTGTGCTGTGTTTTAACCCGCTGCCCCACCAGGGAGGGCCCAGCACAGGCATCTTAAGAGAGGAAGCTCAGAGCTACTTGCTTCTAAGAATCTGACAGAGGACTGGTTACAGTCATGATCTAGTTCTAAGTGCAGCTGACACGTGGACAATGCTGGTGGTAGGAAGATAGGATAACTTATCCCCCCACCAATCTGTGTAACCAGAAATCCTTGTATACATTTTGACTTCCCCAAAATTTAGTAATAGTACAATGCTGACGGAAGCCACATCCATAACACAAACAGTTAACACATATTTAGTATGTTATCTGTATGATATGCTGTATTCCTAGAACAAAGTAAGCTAGAGAAAAGAAAATGATAAGACCTTCGTAACTGGATCATCATAAACGTCTTCATTCTCATCAATTTCATGTTGATGAGTAGGCTCAGCAGGTGGAGGAAGAGGGAACACTGAAAAAAACCTGAATCTAAGTGGGCCTGTGCAGTAAAAACCCATGTTGTTCCAGAGTTTTCTTGAGAAATCTCTAGGAACACAGGAGGGGGGGGAAGCAGCTCTTTCCTCAGTAGAACTAACCAGCTTCCTGAAACTGGTCCAAAGGAAGAAGACCCAGCATCATAACTAATATAAATTTGTGCTATTCGTTGCAGATTAACAACAACCTTAGACATACAGATGAACTATCCTGGAACCACGTGTCCATGTGCATTTTAAACGGAGGCGCCATTCGGTCTCCCATTGACGAGCGAAACAACGGTGTGCTGCCAGGGCTGGGGGTCCCAAGATCAGCCTTGCCCCCTTTGACACACCAGTGGGCCGCCTAGCCACCTAGCTCATCTCCAGCCACACACCGTCATGTCAGTTCTTTCCATTTGGGCTAACTGCTGTCAGTGCCCATCCCCAAGGGCACACTTAACTTGGCTGTTCTCTTACATGTTTGCACAGGGAGAAAACAGCTTGGGTTAGTAGAACCTAAGCTTGATCTAAACTTCTAACTCATAGAACTAAATACTGATTGGTGCTGATTTATGCAAAATTTGACAGCCTCCACATTGGTATCTGGAAAGAGAAAGACAAATAATGTCAATCTCCTGTACTGGAAAAATCAACCAGTGGATTAAATTATTTTGCTGCATTCACACATATCCAGAGTTATATCATGATAAAACAAACCAAACAAGCAGACAGATATTCAAGCATTCGTGTGGTCTTCCATGGTACAGTGGCAAAGCAAGTCATTTTGTTGTTGTTGTTCTGGTTTTGTTTCATGTCATTTTATTGAAGTAACTGGATCTACAACACTGTATATATGACTCAGAAGTGCAAGTACACCTCCTCAGATGTGTGTTACCACAACATACTCACCACTAAAGCACCAGTCTAAGCATAAGCCTAGCTTCATTTCATAATGACAACAGGAACAGGCAGGGACACGCTGGAGGGACTGAGCAATGCTGGACACCCACTGCAGATCCAGTCTCAGGCCAGGACATCCAAGGCAGAGAACCCTTGATTTGGAACTATAGCTTTTTCTAAGTTCCTGCCATCTTTCCCAGTGGCAGAGACTGCTTGAATCCATTCCCTCCTGAGTGTGAGAAACTATGGATCACAGCTGACGCTGTCCTAAAAGTTCCCTAAGTCCCTGCGTCTCCCGCCCCTCTCCTCCCATCCTAAGGGAAACTGCTCTTGGGGCAAGCTTGTTCTCAAGCTGTTTTCCTTCTTGCCTCATCTGTGACCACCATCAGGCACAATTACCTGGGAGAACCTGGCTGCTGTGCTACCCTTTGGAGGCACCTTTGACCTAGTCCAGTTAAAAGGCTCCACCCTGAAGAAGGCCTTTGAGCACAGCGTGTACAGATACGGCCAGTCCAGTGGAGAGTTCCTGCAGGTTGGGGGTAAGTCACTATCCACGGTGAGGTGGGATTTCCTGCCGGTAGGCTATGTTCCCCAGACCAGGCCTTCCCCTCTGTGGCCAGGCTGGTTTGACATTTCTCCCCACTAACAGCAATGTATAACCTTTCAATCAGACCTCCAAGATGAGGTCAGGTGAAAGCCCCAGATCCTGGCAATGAGCAGTACTTGCTGAGTCTGGTTTGGACTTCAACTGGATTCGCTTTTAGGAGCCAAACTCCAAGCTCTAAGCAGGTCAACTGCCTTGAGATTTCATTTCACTTCTGTTTAAATCTTAGCTGTTTAAACATTCAGTATTCCTTATAAAAAAAAAATCTATTCATAATTGCCTACAACCAGGCAGAGGTTCAAAGGAATAAAGTGCCCAATCAGTATTAACAAAAGATTTCTGAGGGGGTGGCCTGCCGTATAGGCCCCCTGGAGTACCTGGCTCTGGTTCTGCTGGGACCTGGGGCACATCTTCCACCTCTCTAAGCACAGCAAGAAAACCTGCCTCATGGATGGCAGTGAAAAATTAAATGAAAATATATGGTTCCCAAATCACAGGGCTTCCAGAATACTTTTGGCAACAACTAACTCCAGTATACAGTAAGCCCTTATTGCAGTACTCTTATTTGACTTTGAAACCACATTTGGTCATACCTTTTCACTTTAGACCACAGTCCCACTGATAGGCACCATCAACTTGCTGGGCCTCCCTCTCCACTGTTACGACTGAGGGCCCACACAAGGCAGAGAGGCCCGGTTTGCTGCCTGTTGGATAAACGCAGACATTTTATACTTTTTCCAGGAGTACTCTGAAGGAACTATAGCACTTTGGAGGATGTGGGTGTGTTTTATCAAGAAACACAGACCCAGATCATTACCATTTAGTAGACTTCAAAATTTTAACAAGTGTTCTATACTTCTCTATTTCTCATCTTTCAAAGTCACTGAACCAAGACAATGGACCAGCTGTTCAAGATTTCTAAAAGATAGAGTGACCCCTACCCCATTAGGTGCCAGGCCAGTTTTCTTCCCAGTGATTTGTTCTCAGACTTCCCAGAGGAACCCAAGCATATACCTAAATCAAGAGGGTAGCTACAATGTACCTCTATTCTCTCCTTTTTTTTAAAGATTTATTTATTAATGCATACAGAATTGGGGTCAGAGATGCAGGGGCAGTGAGATTCACCAGAGACAGTGGAGAGCAGAACAGGCAGCTATACTGAAACATACTGCTGAGGGGAGCAGTGGGTCAGGCATGGTCTGCTGCTCCATATGGGTCACTCTCCCCCCAACGGGGGGTAATGTTGTAGTAGCTATAATTGCTTCATAGTGCTGTGCTTTAACTCTCACCCCAGAAAGGGCCCTGTACCTCTATTCTCTTGATGCTATTTTACTCAGGTTTAAACTAAACAAAAACCAAGCCCAGTGCTCCAGTTCCAGACTTGGCCCAAATCCCTTTCTTAGGAAACAGAAATTGTTCCTTTGGTTCCAGTGAAAAAATATGGATTCATTTCTATTCTAGGAATTCACGTGGTTTATGATCTTTCCCGAAATCCTGGGGACAGAGTGATCAAATTGGATGTTCTTTGCACCCAATGTCGAGTGCCCATGTATAAACCTCTCCAGATGGACAAACTGTATAATGTGGTCCTCCCAAGTTTTCTTGCCAGTGGTGGAGATGGATTCTACATGATAAGAGATGAAGTAATAAAGCATGACTCTGGTGAGCACATTTCTCTTTTCTCCCTGTCCCAAAGGTACGTGAGGTCCACAGAAGTAGGCAGAAGAGAGGAGCTGCTTGTAGTGGCAGCAAGGCAAAGCCAGAGCCCACCTGCAGCCCACGTGGCTGTGGCTGACTCCCCAATGCTTTGTTGCTCCTTCCAACACACACCCATCCATCCATCCAAGTCCAAGGAGGAAATATTTTGGGGTCACAGTGTTTTTGAAACTCATTTAAGTACATATATACAGTTACTGAAATTGTGAAATCACATCTCTTGGATTGGACATGAAGACTACCATATTAAATGATCTAAACTTTCTTGAAGAAATTTTTAGTGTAACTAGTTCAGCTAGGAGTGTAACAATTTTTTTCCTTTATAAATTAAATTATTTTTCTTTTTCTTCCATCACTGCTCATTTTTGGACAGTATATGATCAGTCCTTTCAAGTACAGTCACCATATTTCTATCACCAAAGCATCCATAATCCATCACCATAGCTCCTTATGCTCTGCCTCCCTACCCCATCGACGCCCTTCCCTCTGCCCCCTCTGAATGCCTCAGATCTATGGCCAACTTTCAAAGTCATTGTCTGACCCCTTATTTGGTTCCTCTAGATCCCATATACAAATAAAGTCAACTGATACTTATCTCCTGCCTTATTTCACTTAGCATAGTTCCTGGCTGTAAAAAAATCTATAGAACCAACCATAATTGATCCTAGTCAATGATTTCAGCAGTGATAAAGGTCTATTATACCCAAGCCTCACTTTTAAAAATAAAATTGAGAACCACTTAAAGTGCATAAAATTTGCTGACACAACACACTACACCTTCCTCTTCTCCAGGGCTCCAGAAACCAGCATGCTTACTAGACATGCAGCATGTCCTCTGCAAACCCAAGAGAGAGCTGAGACAGGTTCCTCCTCAGCCTGACCATGATGGCCCTCTTCCTTTAACTGCTTATTCCCAGGAGGGTAGAGCGCAGAGCCAGGCAAAGGAGGCAGATGTCCATGGGAGGACAGGGGCTGACTGCTTCTGCCCATTCTGTGATAGGGGACAGGACAGAGACTGATGGTTGTGTAGCACCCAAGCTCAGGCTAACAGGTGTTGGAGAGGCACAGCTCACACAGAAGACTGGAACTTGGGCCTAAGGGCTCTCAACCTGACTATATATTAGAATCACTTGGGAAGCATTTTAAATTAAATGCATGCCTTGGCCCCAACTTTTAAGAGATTCTAATACAATCGTGTTGGCACAAATGTCACTTCCAGTGATTTTAATGTATACTCAGAGCCAAGAACTACTGGGAGACTTTTTAACAATAAAATCCCATCAGGTCCCTGTGGCTTTGGTGTAGTTATAGACAACTACTAGTTCTCTCTCCTCTCTTTCAGAAATCCATTGTCTTGCCATCAGTCATATGGAAATATCAGACAATCACGTAACTGCACTTGATCCTTTAATACCCTTGCTTAGGGTTGTGAGGTCAATGAACTCTTTCTTGAGTCACCTCAGAACTGAGACTACTTTGTTCCTCCCAATGATGTCCAATGTAGGCCAACTGGCACACTTAACATAGAATATGAAGCAATCAGATTCTTTGTGCTTAGGATCACTGCTATTCTTACCTTCTGTGACACATTAACCCTGCTTGTGAGGGGAGTATATTCACTCATACAGCTACAAAGGACCTTACATTGATTTGGTCTCTTCCCCTCTTACTGTTCATTGATAATTATTTTTTCTGCAGTTAAAATAGTGTGTATGTATTTTTCTAGGTGATCAAGATATCAATGTAGTTTCTGGATACATCTCAAAAATGAAAGTCGTTTATCCAGCAGTTGAAGGTCGGATCAAGTTTTCTGCAGGAAGTCGTTGCCATGGAAACCTCTCTCTAGTATTTCTTGCATTTTTGGTAATGAGCATTGTTTACTAGTAGCCAAAATGTATCTTTGCCATTAACCTGTGGGACTTCATTTTACAAGTGAGATTTAAGTCTGCCTTTCAGGAACTGGCCTTGTGATGGCTTAGGTCATCCTCAGCTCCTAGAAGCTCAACTTAGATGGTTGTAAATGAAGACATTGACACACTCCCAGGATCAGCAACTTACGTGAACAAACAGGGAAAGAAATGAAAATGGGTTCTCCCACCCCCAGAAAAGAGCCAGCCATCTTTTGTTTACATGTGTACATTTCAATAAAAACTTTGATAATAATTTTAAATCATAAAAATTGTTTTTCTCTTTATAGTTCTTATCCACCAGCAATGTATTACTTACATAGAGTTTTATTTTTTACAGGGAGTTTTAAGCTGTTATCTTGCTTGATTCCCATAACTTTGGTGGGCAAGACGTGTTTTTCTCATTTGTCAGATGAGGAAACTTAAGTTCAAAAAGAGTTGACTTGTTCAAGGCCATATAGCTAAAAGTGACAGGTCTAATATCTGCACCTGTGTCTTCTGGCCTGGAATCCAGCACTCTTTCAACTATATCTAGTTGCTGTTTGAAATGATATTTAATGATCTCTCTAAACAATCAATGACTCCAAACTCATGGATGCAAGTCTCTGCTTTATTTCTGGGCTATATGTATTTTTTTTTTTTTTTTTGCTCCTACTGTTCTAGGGAGTTTAATAGATTACACATTCTCTTTCATCACCATGTGCCTTTGATGAGTCAGGAGACAAGTGGCTCAGCAGATAATGGGAAAGAAAAGCTGCAAAAAGCAGACAGGGGTTTGGAGAAGCAAAAATAAAAATCCTGGCCTGATTTACATTAGATAAAGGAAGGAGCTAAAGGACATTTAGATTTTCAAAACAACTATTTGCTGAGAAGTGGCAGTACAGTGCCAGATGCATGGTATTAGCTATATAATAATAAATTTTAAGGGGCCTCCCTTGTGGCCTATAGGTTAAGTATCAGCACTATCGCCACTGTGGTCTCAGTTTGACCCCTGGTAAGAGCTGACCCACATGGTGCAGCAGACCTCTCCTGACCTTCCCACTCCTCCCCTCAGCAGTGTATTTCAGTAGATCCACCTATTCTCCTCCCCACTCTGTCTCTGTCTCCCCACCCCCAACACCTCTGGCTTACAGCCCAGTACTCTCAGGCAAAAACTAAGTAATAATTTTAAGAGATACCTTCAGTTCTATGCTGTTTCCTTCTTTTAATATGAGGATGTCATGAGTTTCTATCACAAGATGCAATTCTAAACCTCTACTAGTCCCTCCCTAGCCACATGCCAGCACTGCATTTCTTTTTAGGCACACATTCTCCTTCTCCCAACCCTCTGCCCCTCCAACACTCTCTCTCTCTCTCATCCATTACCACTACCACCATTTATGGGAAATCTAGAAGGGAAACACAACTGAAGTCAGCTTCTGCCTCCAAATCTGAACAATCACTCAAACTCATTCTCCAGGACAGAAAACTCACTAGGAATGGGTACCTGAGTGGAAGCTCAGGAAATATCAGACTGGTAAAATAATTTATACTCAAAAAAACAAATACTTGCTTAAGGTTGATAAGCATGTGAGCATGCTGAGCATGATTCAAAACATCAATGGGCACCTTTACCTTAAAAATAGTTGAACGGCGGCTAGTAGTTAGCAAAGGGGGTATGTCTGTCTCTTGGTGTTTACAAATACCAAGTGTCCTTGATACATAATATACATTTAAATTTCATGACTTTGGATAAAGGATGTTGCAGTAAAATAAGGCCTTCATTCTATGCATATTCAGAATACCAGAAAGTAAACAAATGTCAGTAAGATTTTAAGAGGAAATTAGGGAAAGATGCACTTCAGATATATTCTTTTATGCTAGGCTAGTACAATAGTGTAAATTCTATTGAAGCACAATTTTTTCAAGAAATTTTTAAAAATACTCTAAATATGCATGCATGTATTGTACAATGTAGTATTAAGAAATGACATCAGGGCCCTCCCTGGTGGCACAGAAGGTTAAAGTGCCGCACTGAGAAGCTAAAGCCACTTCCACATGAGTTCGATCCCTGCCTGCCCCGGAGGTGATCCATATGGCCGGCAGACCTCTCCTGGCCCATCCGCTGCTCCCCTCAGCAATGTACTTCAACAGTCGGCCTGTTCTGCTCCCAACTCTGTCTCTGGTGAATTCTCTCACCTCCCCTGCACTTCTGGCCTGTACCACAGTTCTGTATGCACAATAAATAAATCTTTAAAAAAAGAAAAATGATATCAAACCACTTTGCAACTGTAAATTCCAAACAATAAAATTCCAATTATTCTCCTTATTTCTTCTTTCAAACACCTGTAATCCAAGACCGTATTAATATTTTCACATATTCCCCCCTCAGATGTGGTTACTGTAGCTCTCCCAGGACCAAAGCACCCACACTCCTCCACCATACTCCACTGTGTCTACCCTCTCGCCCCTTCTCCCTCTAAAAACAGTAATTTAGATTAAGATGCCTGGACATAGAATTAGCTGCCATGCCACCAATGTATCTTTTCCCAGATAATATGTACCCTTTAAAGATTTAGATTGCAGACTACACTCAGCTCCTAGCACAAGTTATGCTCTCAACCATACTACTGCCATGTACTTAGACATACTTTTCATCTTTATGCACTTTTATGTCACCAACTTTATATTATTTGTATTGTTTCCTATATTTTATTCTAAACACCTAAGAAAGCAATAATTACATCGTCTCCTTAACTCTATCTTCCATAGGACCTGCATAATAGAAAATAAAAGATTGATGCTGGAAAAATACTAGTTAATAAATGTATGTCTGATAAATGGTTCAATATAGTTATGTTCTGTGATCACATCTAGAAAGAAAGAAATGGTGACATAAGTAATTCAAAATAGCAGATCTTTGGAAAGTCATCTACATTTTACTTTGAAATGCATTAAGGCTGGCCACAACTATATAAAATAGCTCACTTAAAGACAAGCCATGGAAATGATGGCTGAGGGTGCTATGCTAAGAGAAAAAATGAATTGGGCATAGGAAACACTTGTATTTTGTCCAGCCAACATTCACCCCCTGCTTCCATATAGCATCCTAATAATCTGCTATGTATCAATAGTATAAGAAATTCAATGTTGAACATTATTTTTCTTAGTAATCAGGTAAACAGACATTTCTCTATAATTTTAAATGTCAAATAATTGAGATAATTTAATGAGAAAAAATAAGACATGCCAGAGAACTTAAAAAGTTTATCCAAAGTATTTAAGTGGAAAAGTAAATTTTTATTGAGGTAACAGTGGATTACATCATTGTCTTAAAATTATAGGATCTCTCCACCAAATCAAAGACAAGAAAAATAAAAACTATATGATCATATCAACAGATGCTGAGAAAGCATTTGATAAAGATCACCATTCATTTACAATATAGGCCCTCAAAAATACATGGGCTAAAAGGAACATACCTTAATACAATAAAAGCCATACATGACAAACCCATAGTTAACATCATTCTTAATGGTGAAAAACTGAAAGCCTTCCTTTTAAGATATGGAACAAGATCACAATGTCAACTCACACAACCACTTTTCTATATAATATTAGAAGTCCTATACAGAGCAATTAGGCAAGAGAAAGATATATAAGAAATCCAAATAGGGAAAGAAAACTAGCATTGTTTGCAGATAATATGATAATACATAAGGAAACCTAAAAATTCAATGGAGAAACTAATTAAAACAATAAACCAATTTAATAATGTAGCTGGATACAAAAATCAGTAGCCTTCCTATATGCAGTAAATCTAAACAGGAAGAAGTTAAGGAGACCATCCTATCTGCAACTGAAACAAACAAAAAATCAAATACCTGAGAATAAACTTAACCAAGGATGTGAAGGACTTATACAAAGAAAATTATAAAAATTGTTAAAAGAAATGGAGTCATAAAGACATTCCCTGCTCATGAATTGGAAGAATTAACATCAAAATGAACATCCTATCAAAAGCAATTTACAGATTCAATGCAATACTGATAAAAATCTCAAGGACATTCTTCAAAGAAATGGAACAAATAGAGGCCCTCTCTGGTGGCATAACAGGTTAAAGCACAGCACTATGAAGCTAGCCACAGCCACTTTAGCATGAGTTCAGTCGGTACCAGGCCAGGGGGGTTATCCACATGACTTGGAAGATTCTCCTGTCTCACCTGCTCAGAGCAGTGTACTTCATCAATCTACCTGTTTTGCTCCCCACTCTGTCTCTGATGAAGCTTCTCACCACCCCTGTCCTCTAGCCTGTAACCTAGTTCTATATGTATAAACTGGACCATCACATGCAAAAGAATCAAACTAGACTACTACATCACACCATATACAAAACCAACTCAAAATGGATAAAAGAACTGAACTAAGACCTGAAACCAGGGGGCGTCCCTGGTGGTGCAAGGAGTTAAACATAGCATTATGAAGCTATCTGCAGCGGACTGCAGCACAAATTCAATTCCCAGACAGGGAGATGACCCACGTGGTGCAGCAGACCTCTCCTGTCTCACAGGCTGCTCCCCTACTGGTGTATTTCAGTAACTCCACCTGTTCTGCTCCCTACTCTATCTCTGGTGAATCCTCTCACCCACCGCACTTCTGTCCTGTACCCCAGCTCTTGTATGCATAAATCTTTTTAAAAAATAAAATAAAAAAGACGTGGGGGCCCTCCCTGGTGGTGCAACTTGGAGTTAAAGCACAGCACTGTGGAGCTGTCTACAGCCATTGTGGCGTGAGTTCTGTTCCCCATCTGGGAGGTGACCCACATGGCACGCAGACCTCTCCAGTACACCCACTGCTCCCATCAGCAGCGTATTTTAGTAAGTTTGCCTGTTCTGCTCCCCACTCTGTCTCTGGTGAATCCTTTCACACCCCACACCTCTGGCCTACAACCCAGTTCTTCTATGTTAAAAAAAGGAAAAGAAAATGAGAAAAAAGGAACGTAAATCTATTGAATGTATTAATGTGATAAGCAAGCAAATCACATCTCCCTGTTTTTCCACATTAAATATAATTATTTACAAAGAGATATAATGCAAAGTAAAGTCTTACCTGTTTACCCTGGGAGATTATAAATTAACTGTTAAGGAGAAAAAAGCAATTAGCAATGGTGATATGAATAACAGGTATAAAATGAAACAATGTAATAACGAAGCACTTTTAATCATTGTTAAGTTTGTATTAGTCTTTATTAGAACAAAAAAAAATCAAAATTCCCGACACTGAATTACATGATACATACAATAATATACAAAATTTATAAAAGGAAAGAAAGTACATATCCACTTAGCAGAAATTTCAACCAAATCCAATGTTTACATCCACGACGTCACAGAGGTAACTTCCTTTTGTACCTACAGTAAAAATAAATCTATTTAATAGAGGACAAAATAATAGAGTTCATTTGCAAATAGCCTGACAGTTCATTAAAATTCTAACCTAAAATGTGTATGTATCTATATATTCAAAAGAAAATAAACTGGCAAATGCTACAGATACATTTATCTCAGAGATAATGGTAAGGTATAACAACAGATCTTATAATCTTAAACAGAATGCTAAAATTTTCTAGTACTGATCCCCATGTAAATTGAACATAAAATATCTGTGTTCACACTGTTTTAATACATATTGGATTATTATAACTTAAAAGCTTTTAACAGGTCAATATTCCAAGTCTAGTTTTCTCACCCTACAAAACTGACAATTCATTTATTACAATGCAGTCTTGAAGAGTAGTGATTTCATCTGACCAAAGCCATTAGTCAAAAAAGCAAAAACGGGCCCTCCCTGGTGGCGCAGTGGGTTAAAGCACAGCAATGAGAAGCTTAAGCCACTTCCGCATGAGTTCGATTCCCGCCTGCCCTGAGATAACCACATGGCCCGGCAGACCTCTCCTGACCCGCCCGCTGCTCCCCTCAGCAGTGTACTTCGTAAATCTGCCTGTTCTGCTCCCCATTCTGTCTCTGGTAAAGCCTCTTGCCGCCCCTGAGCCTCTGGCCTGTACCCCAGTTCTGTATGAACAAATAAATAAATCTTAAAAAAAAAAAAAAAAAGCAAAAACGGTGAAAAAATAGCTTAAATTTGTATTAAAAATTCAAAATCTTCAAGATTCAATATAATAACATATCCATCCTCTAATTCCAATTCTTTTTGTGTTCATGGACTCATATAAACTCAAGGGCTTCAAAAATATTGAAGTGTGACATACACAGCATTTAATATTATAGATGAAATGTTGGAGAGCTTGGACCATTCTGGCAGTAGAAGAACATTTTCCTCAAGAAAGACTGAAAAGTATAATGTCCCTCCTACCTGCTTATAATTAGGAAGAAATAAAGGTATGGCAAAGGTTATTCATTCCTACACCTTAAAGCCACTCTGAACATATTGAAGAAAGAAAATATAAACACTCACTTTTTAAGTTCATTTTTAAAAGGGCCACAGTCATAAAGGTTTTCTTAATTTTTGTCTCTAATTAAAATAAATATCAGTATTAAAATAATACTGACTAAAATAATTAAGATAATAAAGAATAAAATTGCTGTGTTTTAGTTACCTTATTTAGCTCAGGAAACAGTTCTTGTATAACAATATCCAATAAAACATAAGTCAGCTAAAACACCAAAAAAAAATTTAAGGCATTAGATAAAAAACAAAACAAAACAAAAATAAAGCACAAAAACTCAGGACAATGGTAATCTCTAAATGGAAAGGTAGGGAATAGAACTGATAATAAAAACACAAAAGTAGCTGCAATTGTATCATCGCTCTGCTCTTTTTTTTCCTTATCATTTCAAAAGACAGGTTTATTAACAAATGGAGAAAGAGACACCTGCAGGCATTCAGGAGAGCTGCTCAACATTCTGTTATTAAGATGAGTGTTAGGTACACAGTGTTCATATTGTTAGATAAATAAGGACATAAAATTCAACTGTATTGAGAGGTCAATAAAACATGTATAGCCTATAAACATAAAAATATCAATCACTCTATAAAATCTGAATGGAACTCTAGATTATTTAAGTTTGTATTTTACTTCATGAATATTCTGCATATTCCCCAAATGTTCCACAGTACATATAATGTATTTCAAGTCAAAACAATTCATGTTATAAAGAAAAAAAGGTAATCAGCAAAAAAGTAATACAAATTTTTTTCTATCTAAATGTTTGAATTACATTGCCATCACTTAATACAGTGTCATTTCAAATTAACAGTATTCCAGACCCCCTACTCTGTCATTCACCAAAACTAGCCAACTAGTCAACCCACTTTAATGGATTTTACCTGCTTGTTGAGAACTGGTTGCTGTAAGCCATCAAACAGAAGTCTGATGCCTTCATACTTGGCTTCTTCACCAATAAGCTTGACCATAAGATCTAAACAATAAGTCATATGTGAACTAATTTTATAAAATTAACCATAAAGCAAAATTTCCACCCTGCTTTGCAGATACTATGCACAAATTGTAAATTAGCTTTTCCAAAAGCAATGTTTTTGTTAGAGACTCCAAAAAAAAAAGGAGTTTTTGGTCAAGTTGAGAAATGCAGGACTATATAACCTTCTAGAGAGTCACAATGCTCAAAACACATTGCAGGCTCTGAGAAATGTTACAGTAAATAATTTTGTTCATACTATTAAGTGATAAACTATAGCTGGAAAACATACATGATCCATTCAGGATAAAACAAATTAAAAACTGAAAATCATTGGCACATATATATAGAAAAATGTGAGATTCACACTAAGGTATGCTCCTTTTGCACAGTAGAAAGAGGATGGTTTCTATTTTATATTCTATACATTTTCATAATGTTTTGCTATCTTAACATCAAAAAGAAGTTCAATTTTTAGATTCGTTCAATTATTTATTGAATAAATACTTGTTTTATGATTAATCTCTTGTTATTTTGTAAGATCTTATACTTGGTTTAAATGCCATCAAAACTTCAAGCAAATTGGCCTTCCTGGTGGTGCAAGAGGTTGAGTCTCAGCATGAAACTATCCACAGCCACTGAAGCACATGTTCGATCACAGCCATGGAGGTGACCCACATGACAAGCAGACCTCTCCTGTCTTACTCACTGCTCCCCTCAGCAGTGTATTTCAGTCAATCTGCCTGTTCTGCTCCCCACTCTGTCTCTGGTGACTCCTCTTACACCCCACACATCTGGCCTGAAGCCCTAGCTCTTGCATGCATAAATAAGTAAATCTTCAAAAAAATTCCAACAAATCTGTGAAAGTTCAGTTGTATGAAAGTTTCCTGAACTTACATGTATGATAATTCTAATGTATTAAAAGGAAATAATAATATAAAACAAATATATTTTTATAACAGGTGATTTACAGTGATATAAAATGTTAGAATCTCAATTTTTTATACAGTATTTCCCAATGTCAAAATCCTCTTTGAAAATGAATTTTTTTTTCATGCAGTGTGTGGCTCTGAGGATACAGCACTTAGCCCAGTTGTTACAGTTTGGTCACATGACTGCTCTTCTGGTCACTGGGTGAACATGACTGGCTACACATCCCTCTGCTACTGTGAGTCACAGTATAGTCTCACAAATTGTTTTTTCTCATTTTCTGAGGCTCAGTAACATTATCTGCATATGTCAAAATTCTGAATGTCACAAGTCATTAATATTTCCCTTCAATTTTTCAAATTACCATACTTATTTTTTAAGTAACATTGCATCATAACATTATATAAGTTTAAATGCTCATTGTTAAGAAATCAACATGTATATACACTATATTAAGGTCACTGATAAGATTTCAAATCCATCCTCTACCATACCATTATAATTTAATTTTTTAATATAGAGCCACTTTCCTCTTTTACTATTAATCATCTTTAAAAAACAATCCTTTTAGGGCCCTCCCTGGTGTCATAACGAGTTAAAGCATAGCACTATGAAACTATGTGCAGCCACTATAGCAGGAGTTCGATCCCAGCCAGGGAGGTGACCCACAAGGTACGGCAGAACTTTCCTGACCTGCCAGCTGCTCCCTCAGAAAAGTGTATTTCAATATACCTGCCTGTTCTGCTCCCCACTCTGTCTCTAGTGAATCCTCTTACCCCTGCATCTCTGGCCTGTACCCCAGTTCTATATGTATAAGTAAATCTTTTGAGAAACAATCCTTGGGCCCTCCCTGGTGGAGTAGCACTAAGAAGCTAAAGCCACTTCAGCATGAGTTCTATTCCCGCCCTAGAGGTGAGCCACATGGCATGGTAGACCTCTCCTGACCCACCCACTGCTCCCTCAGCAGTGTTCTTGATCAGCTCTGGTGAGTCCTCTCACCCCCCACATCTCTGGCCTGTACCCCATTTCTCTATGTACAAATAAACCTTTAAAAAAAAAAAAAGACAATCCTTTTAGGAAATGCTTAAACACTAAGTTAGGATTCAGAAACTTCAGAGTCTTGTTTGCACACCTATTACTAAAAAGTTATTTCTTATTAAAACTGCCACTGAGTGTTTTTTCACAAGCAGAAAGGGAAAATTCATAATAAGGTGTTTAAATATTTGTTCTTTTCCTCCAAATCATAAAGAAATCCTTAATGCTAGTCAAGGAAAATCCTTACTTCTGTGTTTGGTTCTGTGAAGTATATATCTAAGTCTAAGAGGCAAAGGCCAAAATCAATTTACAATAAGCATAGTAGAGTCTTGATATTTTCAAAATATGTGACTCAGTGTAGATCTTTCTGAATCCTTTAATTCACTAATACTACATAAGATTTTCTAGTTAATATACAGGAAGCATAACAGATAAAAATAAGTGATCCTTTCAAATCCTTCAGGAGTCACTAAGAAATGAGAACAGAAGGACATGCTAAACTTACTAACTAGTTTAAATCACTTCTTCCCAAACAGAAGTCTGAAAATAGGTGTGATTTAAACTTTTGCCTCAGCAAAATATCAACTTATTATATTCAGTGACTTTCCACACTGTTTCTGAAAAACTAAGAATGCTAAAACTATGAATGCTAATAGTCGCTAAAATACAAAATAAGAAATTACTTCAACATTTACCTACAAAAGACCGACTCAAAGATAGTTTTTTGTTCATTTTTCATTCAGGGCACTGTCTCCACACAAAGCAGTAGGGTTATTCTGGGACTAATTTTTCAACAATGAGAATTCTTCTGGTAGTTTCCTAAACAACCTTCAGTTCAAACCCTTTTATTTTTTTCCTAAGTACTGTTATCCGCTCTCAAGACTCCCACATCTCTCTCCTGTACCATCATTCCTCCAATTTTCAGTTTCAATATGTCTAAATGCTTACATAAATTCTCTTTTGAACAATTAAACCAAAATGTCCTAACTTAAGTATTCTCTACTTTTGACCCTTTGACATTTTTTCTTTCTATCAATATTACTGCCATTTAGTGGTCCAAGTCTAACTTCTTTCCACCAGAAGTGATCATCATCCTCTTTTGAAATACTTGAACTTTTATTACCACAGGTATGTTTTATCTATATCTTTGTCTTCCTGCAACTGATGTATACTTTTTATAGGCCTTGTGCTGGCACACTTTTTATATCCCTTGCCGTCTGTCTAGCACCTAGTACATGGGAGCTGCTCAATAATTTAAAAGGAATAAATGAATTCTAGTCTTTAATTAGGGACCCTGTCATAGCTTTCCTCAAGGTGACAGTGGGCACCAGGAATCCAAATATCTGGTCTTACCTTAAAGATTTCAATGTCAACGTCGTAAAAATCAAATTTTATAATTGAGCTAAGTTTAATGGGTTCTTATAACCACTTCTAAAATGAAGAAAATCACAGTAAAAACTAACCTCAATAATGACTATACATTATGACCTAGAAGGAAACTTAGTCTATATTAAACTACTTCTGAAATATTATACCTGGCATGTAGTTCATCATTTCTTCGAAAGTCCGTTTTGCTCGTTTTTGCTTATCTTGGAGAGAACGAGGTTCAGTGTTTTCACAGAATACAGCATCTGAAAATAGACCCCAAAAAGCTGAAATTTCTACCTACTATTCAGTGTTCCACACAGTAAAAATAGTAATAAATTGAAGAAAAATCAGACTTCACTTTTAGAATAAATTAAAATCTTAACAGTACACAAAACATGAAATACATGTAAAATACAAACCTCTGAGAAGTGTTATGAGTGACACTAAACGGTGCTCCTGAAATAGCTGTTCTAGTTTATGCTGATGATTGTACTCAGTATACATTTCAAGAGTATTTTTAAAGAGAATTCGAGCACCCATTAAGAGATGATGAAGCCAATCAGGAACTTGGAAAACCACCCGTCCTAAAAAGAATCAAACAGAGTACTTCATGGCTAAGGTAAGTGGGTATTTTGAACATTTTTCAAGATAAAAAACACAAGGGTCAATATTTTATTTGTAAATACCAGTAGTTAATATCTTTAGAACAATAGTACTGAGCTTACATAAAAAAAGCAATTTCAATTAAAATGAGAGGGCAATATTCAAAAGCATCACATAAAAAATATGATAGATGAGTGAAAACAAGTTTTAATAGTAACCAGTTAGCTCTTACCCAGGTACATCAGGTAGTCATAGATGCCTTCTACAGTCATCACCTCCATAAAGTAATTCTGATTTTGCTTTCTCTCTGCATTCTCAGCACGATTTGCATTGTTCTTAAACAGATCATTGAAAAGCTAGAGTTTGAAAATAAAGAGATACATAGTTTATTAGATCTGCTGGTAATATTTCTAAGGTAAAAGTGATACAGAACAAACACATTCAAACTTTTGCCACTCAAAACAGTGTCAGATAAAGGAAGCTCTGCTTCTACATTTATACCCAAAGGTAAATTAAAAAATACATGCTCTACCCAAAATAATACTTTGAAATCTGTGTTCATTTTAAACACAACAGATAATTCATCATCTCTAAAGGACTCCTTTTTTTTTTTAACTTGTCTTAACCTCAAAGGAGTAAATGAACAAATAAAGGTGTGTAAATATTAACTATAGCTAAGTTTAAAACCACATGATTTGAATATTATAAATCACTAAATTAATTCATGGGTTCTTAGAGGTGAATACTTAGCTTTACGCAATTTATTTGTACTAGCCAAAGTTAGCAAAGACCTAATGAATATGAAAAAAACATGATGAAGATCTATTTGTAGTTGAAATGATAAAATACAACTCAATCTTTCTCCTTCTCCACCCAAAATAAGAAAAGTAAAATCAATTATAAAGAGCAGAAATTAAGGGTCTGATAGTAATTAAAGTATGATAGAAACGATCAACAAAGTCAAAATATAAAATGGACAAAATCTTTGGCAAGATTGATTTTTAAAATGGAAAATAAAACACAATTTTAAAAATAAAAAGATAGAGGCCCTCCCTGGTGGTGCAGTGAGTTAAAGCATAGCACTATGAAGCTATTCTCAGCCACTGCAGCATGAGTTTGATCCCTGGCCAGGGAGATGACCCACATGGCTTGGCAGACCTCTCCTAGCCCGTCTGCTGCTTCCTTCAGCAGTGAATTTCAATACATCAGCCTGTTGTGCTCCCCACTCTGTCTCTGGTAAATCCTCTCATGCCCTGCATCTCTGGCCTATACCCCAGTTCTTGAATGCATAAATAAATAAATCTTTAAAGCAATAAACATGAATATTACAATCACTCTTAAAACTGCAGTGTTGTTTAAAAAAAAATTCCTATAAAGGCTTACATGATTTTACCAATAAGTTTTATCAAATATTTAATCAACTATTGATTTAAATTATAACTTTACCAGCAAACAGAAAAGGCATAAGATATTCTTGATATCAAAACCTACCAAGGATGGAGCAAGAAAGAAAAAATTATAGGCCAAGTCAATCCATAAACATGGATATAAACATCCTTAACCTCATAAAAAAATTACTTATGAAAAAACTACACTACACTATCCTTCCCGCTGTTCCCCTCAGCAATGTGTTATAGTACATCTGCCTGTTCTGCTCCCTACTCTGTCTCTGGTGAATCTTCTCACTTCCCATCACACCTCTGACCTGTACCCCAGTCTGTAAGCATAAATAAATCTTAAAAAAAAAAAAAAACTAACAAAAATGAAAGGTTTTTTGAGCTGCTATTGCTCGCTCCCAGTACTGGACACTACACTGACACTAAATTGAGCTTCTTGAAAATACAGTATCTATCTTTTTATTCCCAGTGCCTACAACTCAGCTTAAAGCACAGTACTAAGAAGTTAAAGCCACTTCCACATGAGTTTGATTCCCACCTGCCCTGGAAGTGATCACATGGCGTGGCAGACCTTTCCTGACCCGCCCGTTGCTACCCTCAGCAGTGTACTTCGTCCATTTGCCTATTCTGCTCCCCGCTCTGTCTCTGGTGAAGCCTCTCGCAGCCCCTGAGCCTCTGGCCTGTACCCCAGTTCTGTATGCACAAATAAATAAATCTTTTAAAAAAAAAAAAAAAAGCCCAAATACTGAAATGGCAGAGGTTTGCAAATGCAATGGCTAAAAAAAATGTACCATATTAAAACAAACAACCAAGCAACTACATACAATACCCCTTTACAACTGATTTCTATATAAAGGGGATATAAAGTTCCATCTATTAACCCAGGATTTTCCCTATAATGTAAAAGTTACTTCAAGTAGTGCAACAACAAATTGAATGCCTCCTTAAGGCAATATGTAATACCTTCTTGTTGTTTTCTGAAGTAGGGCTGAGAATGGTCAGTTCTGGTTTACTTGGCTTAGGTTTTGGAGATTCACAAGAATTAATGAAATTCATGATGAAAGGTTCCAAATGCTGGCCTTTCTGTAGTGATACAGAGTTTATAGTGTGAAAATCAAGATTATAATTTTTAGCATCACGTAACCCATTAGAATTCATTGAAAGAAGTAGGCTTATAACTGTTATGTCATAGAGCACAAATAAATCAGTTATTTACCTCTTTCATAAGTTTTCCAGGAACAGACTTTATAATTTTTCCTGCAATTCAAAGTAAAATGTTAATTTTATAAAAGCATAAGATACCTCATAACTGTATACACAAATTTAAAATATTAACATCCTAAAAAGTAAAATTGTGAAATATATTTATAAATGATTATTTCAAAATAGAAACTTATGATAAACACAGTATTCTTAGCTATCTACAACATTTGGGATTACTTTTAAAATAATACATTGGGGTGCAAATTTGGGGAAGCATGGAACAAGCCAAGTATTGACAACTGTTGACTGAACTAGGATAAGCAAGTCCACTATAGAAATTTGCCTCCTTTTGTATATATATGAACATTTCCCTAAGAAATCTTTAAAAAATTTTTTAAATAGTGAACAAAGATACCTAAAATAGTATACAATAGTTAAAAGAAAATATTTTAAGAGTTGCTAAAACATTTTAGTTAGCTATTTGTATCGCTGATACTTTCAATGTCAGACTTAGAATTTATATGCTAATCCTGTTAGCCAAACTTTTTCATCTTATCTCTTAGGTTCCCTTATAAAATAACAAACTACTTGAGATTTTTTTCTAAAGCATTTAGAATGACTTTAAAAATTACTCAAAATTGACATATACAACCTAAATTTCTTTTAGTACAACTGGGAAAAAAGTAGATTTGTGGCAATAGCAGGAAACATAATAATTAAAAGCAGAGATTGTTTTACATATAACCACCCAACCGCCCCCCCCACTAGTCTATTTCTCCTCTGGTACCCCCATAATTATTCCTCTTTCTTAGAATTTCCTGAATTCCTTAGAGAATTTCATGCTGTGCTTTTTTCTTTTTCTCTCTTGTATATATTCTACCTGAGCCAAATTATTTGATCAATATGATTTTGACTTTACACTTAAATCTCTGCTCAAATCTGTTTCCTGGCCTTTCCTGCCTTACAAAAGCTCATTTAATTAGATGTTATAAACACAAGTTTGTAACTGCTTTTTTATTTATTTCCAGTATCAGCAAAAAACAGCATTCATTCAAGTTGTTTAAACAGAAACCTGGGTCTTCTCTGACTACTTCTTTCAGTCAAAACCTGTCAGTAACCAGGCCTACCCAATTTTATTGTTATTTCCTAAGCATCTTATTTAGCCATATATAAAAGGTCTTTATATATTTTCACATGATAAAAGAACCCACATTCATACAACCAATATTTTGGCTCAATTAAATGTATTAATGAGGAGATATAAACAAAAGCCAAATGCCCACTTAAATACATTCATTTAGTTCTCTATATACTTGTTACATAAAATATGTATTTAGAAATAATGCTTTACTTCATTTTTTAAACAATTTCATTCTAACTTTTCCAACTGTATTAATTTCATCTGTTTTGACTATACACACACACACTCATAGCCATGTGCTATAGGTATTCACTGGTTTAAATATTCATTTTATTAATTTATCAAAACTAATGCTGATGAACATTTGTAATATTTCCAATGGCTATTATAAACAACAGTGCTATGAACATTCTTAAATATGGAACAAGATTCTTCAAATATCTTACACAAAGGAACTTCCAGGGCAAATACTAAACTTTTCCTAAATGGTTTCACAATTTATATTCCTATTAACAGTGTGTAAAAGGTTCTTTGAAGTTTGACACATGGCTTTACACATAAACCATTTTTCTAAATTAATCCAAAATGACTGACTCTTTTCTTCCCAGTTTAATCTTTTTATACATGATTTTTAAATTGACTTACCAAGATTAACATCTGGTAGTATCTTATCAAGAAATTGTGTTTCTCCCCCATTGGGGGAGAGAAAATCTGCTAGAAGTTGACTATTACTCAGTTCTGGATGCTGCAAAAGTTTCTTGAATGAGCAAAAAAGGAAAAAAGGTTTAAAAATTTAGAAGGGTGATAAAAACCTGCACATGTCTTTTTTAACTAAGAAAGCAATTTTAAAACCTCCAAAATTAACTTATATTCAGAATAATAACAAAAGTGCACTATAGAGAAAAGAGCATAACACAGTAGTCCTGCCATCAGACATGAATGGGCTTGAATTCTGGCTCTTCTATTTGTTAGCTATTTATATAACCCTAGAAAAATTCCTAAACTGGCCAAGAGGCAGTATCCTCACATGCGAGATGAAAATGACAATACCTGTTCTATAGTGTTGTTAATAGCAGAATTTAGCACAATACCTGATATATAGAAAGGAAGATTAAACACAGCTAACATTATTTCTCAATTTCTTAAATACAAAACAAGTATTACAGTATCATACAATTTGTTTGACAATTAAAAAATACTACATATTTTACAGAAAACCAAATGTGAAATAACCTGGAAATTCTGTTGCTGTCCTTCTTGTAACACTGTTTTCTTACAATATAAACTGACTTTTTATGGCTAATATTAACTCAGTCAGCTTCCTAACTATGCAATCAATTATAAAACTTTATGGCCAGAAAGCTACATAAACAAAATATTAGTACCGTAACCTTTAACTCTCATATTACCAGAAAGTATTTCTTCTAGGATAAGGTATTCTCATCCTTAGAATTCTTAGAGTCAGTTCAAATAATGAAGTCACTGTATCAACAAAGACACAGGTATATTTTGTATTCAAATATCCTTACAGTAATTAACAATTAATTCCTTTTTAAATTTTCATACCACCAAAAGATTATATAGTGAATTCTTTCTGGTTAAAATCTTCAACTGTTAGATACAGGAACTATAACGTAAATATTCCTTTAGTGTTCAGAATATTTTGTTTTTTAAAGATTTATTTATTTGTATACAGAGCTGGGGTACAGGCCAGAGGTGCAGGGGAGGTGAGAGGCTTCACCAGAGACAGAGTGGGGCGCAGAACAGGTAGATCGACTAAGTACACTGCTGAGGGGAGCAGCGGGCAAGACAGGAGAGGTCTGCCGTGCTATGTGGTCACCTCCTGGGCAGGGCAGGCGAGGATTAAACTCATGTGGAAGTGGCTTTTAGCTTCTCAGTGCTGCGCTTTAACCTGCTGTGCTACCAGGGAGGGCCAATGTTCTGAATATTTTTAATTTAAAAAGTGCTTGTTTGGGCCCTTCCTGATGGCACAAGGGGTTAAAGGGCAGCACTATGAAGCTATTGCAGCAGCTGCAGCTTGCCCTGCGGCCAGGAAGCTGAACCACATGGCCCAGCAGAACTCTACAGTCTTGCCCACTGATCCCCTCAGCAATGCATTTCAGTCAAACTGCCTATTCTGCTCCCCACTCTGTCTCTGGTGAATCTTCTCACCTCTGGCTTCACTCCAGTTCTTGTATGCATAAATAAATAAATCTTTAAAAGTAAGTAAATAAATAAAATGTGCTTATATTTTTCACTAGGAAACATCACATTTAAACTAAATTAATATAATAAAAATACAAAATTCTGTGCCCAAATCAAAGAAACCTTTATAAATTACATAAAAGTATGTACTCTTTGTTCTTATACCCTTTACTAAGATGGTCATTTATTTTAGAAAAATTTCAAATAAGAAGCTTTTAACCTGATTGAACTGTCAATGGAAATAAAATATTGATTACACTTTTCTCATAATAAAGTATACACAGAAGTGAGAAAAACAGAATTGGATGCCACATGGAAGAACCCAAGAATACTGGAAAAACATGAACAAATTGCAAAAGGAAAAGAACTAAATAAAGTGGGAGAGAAGATTCAGTGTTCATTAAATATATATAGATATAGGGCCCTCCCTGGTGGCGCAGCAGGTTAAAGCATGGCACTGAGAATCTGAAGCCGCTTCCTCATGAGTTCAATCTCCGCCTGCCCCGGAGGTGATCCACATGGCACAGCAGACCTCTCCTGACCCGCCGCTGCCCCCCTCAGCAGTGTACTTCATCGATCTGCCTGTTCTGTTCCCCACTCTGTCTCTGGTGAAGCCTCTCACCACCCCTGAGCCTCTGGCCTGTACCCCAGTTCTGTATGCACAATAAATAAATCTTTAAAAAATATATATAGATATAGATATAGATATATATAGAGAGAGAGACATACACACACACACACACATATATACATATATAAAATCTAACACAAAACAAGATGAAAACAGCAAAACTTATTCAGTAGTCTTTGACTGCTTTTCTCTTTCAGAAGAGGTTTTTTCTTCATGCTTCCTTTAAATTCCACATTGAAAGTTGTAAACTAAGCCCCAAACAAGGCTTTCTTCTCCCTAAGAAATTATTTTAGTGGTCTACTCTTGACAATAATTAATTTCCACATAAAAAAATTTTTAATCCACAGTTATTTGTAAAAAACAAAAAAAGTACATACAGGAAAAAATTAAGATTAGAGAATGCTATGATTAATAATGTTTTAAATTAACATAGTGCTATACCTGTAGATATTCCTGAAACTCTTCTCTCTTTGACTTTAAGAATTCATAATTTTTAGGGCCAATGATCCTCTTGGAAGGAAGCTGGGCATCAGGAAATGTGCCTGAAATTAATATACATCAAACTTATTACTGTGATCTCCATTATTTTAAAAACTTAGCTCGTAGTTTAGTATGGCAAATTCAAAGTCATAATATTGCCTTTTAGAGATAAGACATTAACCTTTAAAGAACTTAAAACTCACAGAGCTTCCAGTCAGAAGACCAGGCCAAAGAACCAGTCTCCGGCCTGAGTCTATGAGTCAACATCACTGACAAATTTTTATCTTCTATATAGTACAGTAAAACAGCCTCAAAAATGTATCATGAAATTATTTTGAAGTTGTCAAAATTCTACTAAACCAAACTTATTGCTAAAGAGATATCTACTCTCTCATGGAAAAAGAGTTAACATTTTGCCAATGCTATGTAAATTTTAAGACAAAAAATTTTAAAACTGTGGACATGCTTTCTTACATAGGGCTGAAGATTTAAGAAATTTTAGTACTTAAAGGAAAAATATTGTTGGAAAGCCAACCAAGTCTGGTTGCTATAGAATTTTAAAGTATAGAGATAAATTATATTCTCTTAACATTAAGTCAAAAGGAAAAGTACTCAAAGAAAGAACAAGGTAAAGATGGCAATGCATCAGATTGGCTAAGGCAGAAAGAAAACCATTTAAAGACAAGCACAAACTCAAAAATCTAGACAAAACAATGCACCCTGTATTCTTTCTCTTCTTATAATAATCTCCTTATCATGGGCTTTGCTTTTAGAGCAGGCTAAACAGTATTCCCTATACTTCTCAATTCACAAACAACCTATATTTGGGCTACTCCACAGAACTTTTAAAAAATAAAACGATTAAAAGACCACAAAAATCAAACTCACCAATCTTATAAAATGATTAGAAATACTTCTTAACTATATCCCTGACACTAACTAAAATAAACACAGGTAAAAGAGAGAGGTTTCCTGATTATTCTCAAAAGAAACATTCAGCTACAAGTTTTGTTTCCATATACAAGTCTAAACACTAAATCAAAGCATTTGCCATGGAAGATGTGGGTAAAAGAACAGAGCAACCCTGAAATGTCTGGTTTAAATTCTCTGCCACATCAAGATAAAGTTAGTATTATTTAAAAGCAATAAATGTGCACTATAAAAGCCTTAACAGTATAAAATAAGTAAAAATAGGTACACCCCTATTGTCAATGAGAGTATTTATATAAATCAATTGGATCTTTGGTGAAACAACTTTAAAAAATTATCCTGGTTCAACAGCTTTTCATGTAGGTTAAATCTGACATACAATGTTTCACAGAAAAAGGACAACATACCATGAAATTCTGTTAGTTTTGATTCAAGTACATAGAATTCAAGGTATCTTCTATAAACAGACCAATGTTCAGGCTCATGTCCAACTGAAATTAGATGAATACATACTAAATAAATAATTTCACAAACTACTACATACTGGATGCAATATTTAAAACATTAAATATCCAAATACAGAAATTATTACAGTCTAACAATGTGGTATTTCTTCACATTACATTGACACACTCTTATTTTTTTTAAGATTTATTTATTTATGTATACAAGAACTGGGGTATAGGCCAGAGGTGTGGGAGGGTGAGAGGATCTATCAGAGACAATAGTGGGGAGCAGAACAGGCAGATTGTCTGAAATTTATTGCTGAGGGGAACAGCAGTTGAGACAGAAGAGGTCTGCTGCACCATGTGGGTCAGCTTTCTGGCTGGGGATGGAACTCATGCTACAGTGGCCACGGATAGCTTCATCATGGTATGCATTAAACCCTGTTCTACCAGGGAGGCCCAACATACTCTGGTTTTAAATTAACTAGAAAGATTAATAAAGTTCAACTACTTATGAAATTATCTCTATGCATTTTTCTACAATAGAATCACAGAACTTCAAAAAAGTATGCAAATATGTTCATTTTTTTAAATGTAGTGAAAATGATTTCATGAAAATTGGTTGTCAATTTTTAGCCTCAAAAATCAATATTTACCAATTTTACAGAGCTTTATACTACAATTTTATTACAGTATAAAACAGCGCTGTCCAATAAAATTTTTTGCAATTATGAAAATGTTCTATATTATCCGCACTAAAAGAGTAGCTATAAGCCATACATAACTATTGATGATGTGAAATGTAGCTAGTGTAAGGAAATGAAATTTGATATTTTAATTTTTAATGGCCACATGTGGCTAAGTAACTACCAAATTGAATAGTAAATGTAATTCTTTAAAAATAAATCAGGTCAGGCTGCCAGTTCCCATTCAGAAGCCCCAATTTACTAGATGACCTTGAAAATAACCTCAGTGTGAAATGGTTTGCCTAAATGTAAAGTAATTATACCTATTACATAAAATGATCCACATAAAACACTTTTGTGCAATGTACAACTCAGAATAAGTAACCCCAAAATGTTAGTGCAAATATTAGTGTTTTAGGTTATTCTAGAGTAAATTGGAAACACACTCAATCAACTCAACTAAAACCAAAATCCCAAAGTGACATCTATACTCAGGAAAAAAAAACAACCAGTTATAGTAATAACCTATAAAGCAAATACTATTTTCTTCCATCAATGGTCTTAAGAGACCTATATCTTACTTTTGATTCTTAAAATCCTGACAGTACTACTTTCTATACAAGTAAAATCAAGTTAATAAATGATAGACTGTTATCCCACCCACCTCATAGACCATCACTTCCTAAGAGTACATAATACTAAGAATAAAAGTCTGTGGTAGTACTGATGAAAACATTTTTAAAATATAAGTTTTGGCCCTCCCTGGTGGCACAGCGGGTTAAAGCACAGCACTGAGAATCTAAAGCCACTTCTGCATGAGTTCAATTCCCGCCTGCCCCGGAGGTGACCACATGGCGCGGCAGACCTCTCCTGACCCGCCCGCTGCTCCCCTCAGCAGTGTACTCCGTCCATCTGCCTGTTCTGTTCCCCACTCTGTCTCTGGTAAAGCCTCTCACCGCCCCTGAGCCTCTGGCCTGTACCCCAGTTCTGTATGCACAAATAAATAAATCTTTTAAAAAAAAACCATTTAAAAAAATATATATATATAAGTTTTAAGACTTTTTGGTTTTAATTCTATAGTTAAATTATCAAGACAAAAATTGTAAAATACAGCACAAAATTTAAAGATGGCTGTCCCAAAATGTGAAAATAAAAGTATATTGCCAACATTATTTTAAAAAATGTATCGTTCATAGTTTTTTCAAAAGGAGATTAAAATTACTAACATGTTAATATAAATTAATTTATATTGATAGGGATTTACATCTAAAGAGTCAAAAGTTTTAAATAATTTCCAGAGAAGCCAGATGAACAGTGCAGGAAGAGCCAGACTTTAGGCACAAAAAGTTGAATCTAGAAACTAAGTTTTTTCTTTTCATTCTTTCCAACACCTGAAGCCACTCAGTAGATAAGGCAGGTAAAAGATAAAAACAAATCTGAAACTTAAATTAGACTATCAACAATGGTTTATACACCCATTAAAATACTGAGAACAAACAGCAGACACAGCAAAATCAACACTCTGAACTACAGTTTTAGACTAAGGCCTCCCTTAAACTTAACTACAACTGGAAAAGTCATAGCTAGATACTCTGAAATTTTTCCATAGGTTTTATGTCCTTGAAATAGGATAGATTTCTGAGAAAAATCAGAAAAGCAAATGTTTTTTTAAAAATGAATAAAGGGAATTATTAGCTGATTTTTACACTATCACTTAAGTTATTCTTCTTTCAAAACTATTTCCTGACACAGTTTTTTCCCTTTCTTTCCTCACAGATAGTTTCCTCTTCCTGAGTTCAGCTTTATTTTTCCTTCTCATCATTCCCAAACTGTGTACAACTTTGAATGTGCTTTTGCTTATTCCAAATGCCCCACTTCCTGGACAAAAGCCAGGTGATTACTGTTTATCCATCCCATTATAGAAGCTTTTTTCATCTCCACCCCTTCTAACAGTTCACATCTGAAACAACCAAAAGAAAAAAGATAGGAAAACAAAGAAAATGCGTTAAATTGTGATATTTTTATCAGTTCTATCACAACAATGAAAGAGAAATGCACTCTTAAATTAGTACAATATGGCCTCCATGGGTGGCACATGGATTAAGTATAAGCACTATCAAGCTATCTGCAGCATGAGTTCGATCCTCAGCCAGGGAGGTGACCCACATGGCATAGCAGATCTCTATTATTTCACCCACTGTTCTGCTCCCCACTCTTGTCTCTGACGAATCCACTCACCCCTAGCACCTCTGGCCTACACACCAGTTCTTGAATGAATGAATAAAAAAAAACTTAAAAAAAATAGTACAATATTTGACAAAGTACATTAGTAGTAGTCAAAACTAAATTCAATGATTAAAGATGGTAACAAAGCCATTTAAAAAACATGATATAAAATGTCTTGGTGGTTTATCAGTTATCTTGCAAGAACTACTCAGTAAGTGACTGGTAATAGATATAACCAAGAAAATCCTAAGTTTTCATTCAATATTCTGTTCTGGACATTTATGTCATTTATGTTTTAGATATGCAGTTATATTTAATAGTTAGAAATGCAAAATGTTTATCACTTCTGGTAAGGACAGTGGTCATCTTTTTAAAAAGGTATTCATAAAGCTTCCTACCTGCTCTTCTATCATTTCTTTCAACATCAATACAAAACACAGGTATTCTCTCCTTTTTCTCCTTTCTTTCAGATGAGGAATCTTCAAAAAAATCTACATATGGAATACTAATTTTCCATGCAGCAAGGTTTCGGGGAGTAGTAGGCGTGCTCACAGCTTCCACTGGTGAATCATCTTCCATTACAACAATACCTTCTTCAATCTGGAAAATAATTATCAGGGTAACTTTACTATTAAACATCCAGGACTTTTAGACCTACAGCAAAAGAGATACAACTCCAAAGTATCATGTTCATATAAATTCCATAAATTTTTTATTTTGAAATTAAGTGATATCAAAATTTTCAATGAAAAACTAAAGGCAAAAAACTAAAAATGAACTACAAATTTTGTTATATCACCTATGAAAAACAGACCCTTCATAAATTTTGAAAAACATTAGAAATCACAAATAGAAAACAACAGTCATTGATGGAGACTGAATAGACATACTGTGATATACTATTGATAACAAAGTACACCAAACAAAACCGTTCTGGAAAGTGTCGTGGCAATACTTATTTATAAAGGTGATGAAACAATTCCATTTTCTGGGAATTTATTCTAATATATGTATTTATTCCAAATAAAAATTCTCTTAACTGTGAAAAAGGCACAAACAACAACATATTTACTAGAGCATTAAAAATATATATAAACTTGGGAAAAGCCTGAAAGGGAAAACTACCTCTATAAAATTAAGTTTGTTTTTTCATCTCTTTACTCCTAGAATTTTAAGTGTTTAAAATAAGCCATACTGGCCCTCCCTGGTGGTGCAGCAGGTTAAAGCACAGCACTAAGAAGCTAAAAGCCACTTCCGCATGCGTTCGATCCCCGCCTGCCCCGGAGGTGACCACATGGTGCAGCAGACCTCTCCTGACCAGCCCACTGCTCCCCTCAGCAGTGTACTTCATCAATCTGCCTGTTCTGCTCCCCACTCTGTCTCTGGTGAGGCCTCTCACCGCCCTGATCATCTGGCCTGTACCCCAGTTCTGTATGCACAAATAAATATATCTTTAAAAAATAATAATAATAAGCCATACTACTGTGGTAAAACAAGCCATAGAGAAGGGGGGTGTGGGTGAGGAATGCTATATTTAGATTATCTAAAAAGAAAAAAAATCTTAAGATTTTTTTCTATTTAAATTACTATAAAGAAATCAGTGCATCTCCTTTAACAAACTCATCAGTGTGGTGAGACCAAGTAAGATAAAGAGATGAAGAAGAAAATGGATTTACTCTCCTCTCCCTACTTCCTTCTCCCAATCAATTGGAACTATTCATTCCTTCTAAACCTAAGTTAGTACATTTCTTCAAGTCAAGGTCTATGTTTTAATCATGTTTTTATCGCCAGTGCTGAGAGGCATTAAAAGGCAAAATCAGGATGCAGAATCTCTGTCAATAAAGATTTGCTTAATAAATGAAAAGTACAAATGGGACAATATCTACCTTTATGGAATTCACTAATTTACAAAGCAGAAATCATAAAACATGTACTTCCAAACACTATATGGTACTTTGCTTTGTCCTAAGAGGGGCACAAAGAAGGGAATGCTTAGTTCTACTTAGAGATTCAGGTAGATTTTATGAAGAGCAGCTGAACTGTGAAATTAAGAATTTTCTAGGAAATTGAATGGAGGCCATTTCAAACATCACAGCACATGCAAAGTTATAGAGAAATATAATAGCATGGTAGGTGTCATGTGCATATAAACCAACTGTAGAACTTTCTGTATTTATAACAAGATCCCATGTAATGCTGGAAATCCACAGATCACAATTTCAGTGGCTAAGAGGTTAGGGCATCTATTAAAAAAATCCTTGTGCCTGGGTCCTTAGCATCTTGATGTTATGAAATAAAAGCCTAACCAAAAGGTGGCAAACTGCTTGACTACTAGAAGTATCTCAATTTAACAGAAACCAATCTTCCTTATAAGAAATGACTAATTCTCAAGGATTTGAAAAATTATGTAGGTACCATGATAAAATGATAATAACTAATGAAAATAGAGAGAAATAAAGGAAGTCTAAAATAAGATGGAATGGGAAAATAATAAGTGAGCATATCCAATTTTTTTATGCCACAGTAAGTTCAGGGTTATACATTTTAAGAATTTTTACTTACAAAGTCATCTTCACCTTCAGTTAAACCATAATTAGGCAACATAGCTCCCTCCATTGTAGTGCTCTTGAATACTCCTTTAATTTTGCTACCTATTCTGCTGATTCCAAATGATTCTCCTCTTTTCTGTGTGCTCCTAAACATTAAGTAAAAACATATCAATTACACAACAAAGTATCATGAGAGTCTAGCTTCCTGTTAATAATAAAGAAAAAAGGGTTGTGAAAGGGTAAATTAAAGATACAGTTAACGTAACTTTCTGGAGTTCTCAGTCATAGGTTAAGTCTCAACACCCCAGGGGAGATGACAGAACAATTAAAAATAACAGACCAATTAAAGCTCAAAGGTATGAACAAATTGGACAATATCTATTAATACACATTTGAAGCTTTTTCTAACTTTAAAACATTAAACTAAAATATTCAGAAGATGAGAGCCCCCTAGTGGAGGATGCCATACATAACAGAAAATATTTAAGACTAGTGTTCAGTACCAAATATCCAACTAGAACTGCATTGCTAAAATAAATAGTGTTAAAGAAGAAAATATTAAACTCCCCGGAATTCACTTTAAGGACAACAAAAAAATTCTGACCTTTATGACTTACGTTTATGCAAAATTCAACTTTACAATATCATACTCAAAAGAGACACAAAGTATAAAATATAACTTAAATGTACTTTTTAAAAAGAGGAGTTTATGCCAATTGTGTGTAGTAAAGCAAGTCCACATGACAAAGTCACATATTGGACATTTACATAGCAGATGATTCAACAAAGCAGAACACTTTTAAAAACTAGGCTGAGTAATATTTCAGACCTTAAGAGGAAGGCAGAAGGGAGGGAGGGTCATAAGAGTATAAGGGATAATGGTGGGGAAAAAAAGAAAAGAAAAAATAAAAATACCAAAGGAAGGGTTAGCAATGAGTATAAAGATAAAAGCAAATGTAGCACTCAAAATTCAGAAGCAGCCTGCTCTGCCATATATTAAACACGGATTACAATTTTTTTCAAAAGTAAATTTCTAAAAACAGAAATATCTGGAAAACAACACAAAAAAATTCAAAAAAGCAATAACAAAATTTTACCCTATTATATTTTACTATCCCATTTTCAGCAAAAGACTGTAACATATCCAATTTAAAACTCATGCTTGCTATGTAATAATGTTCTTATAATGGACACCCAAATAAAAATAACTGTTTTTAATTTGTTTTGAAAGCTTAATTTAATAATAGCTATTATTCGACAAGCAAAATTTAAGTTATTCATTGAAATAATGTAACAATTACAGAAATAAAAGTAAAATGTTTCAAATATACTAGGTATACAGTGACACATGTATTAGTATTTTACACATCTGAAGAGCAAATCACATTCATTAAAACTGGGAAAAGTCTAATAATAATTAGTTAAGAGTAGAAAGAAAATCTGAACTAGATTATTATTTTATTTAGATAAGTATGCAGTTAGTGTTTCTTAAAAGTCGAGAATTATAAATACAACTCTGATAGAATGTTTCTAAAATCAGTATGAAAATACTGAGAAAATATTATTGAAGTCTCTAGAAAGATTATCTTAATTTTGAGAATCTATAAAGATTACAAAACAATTAAGCTTTTAAAAATATCTAACAATTATGTCCAAAGATATAAAATATCATACTTCTTAAACAGGCCTTTAAACACAAATAATTTTGAGTTAATTTAGCAAAGTCATAACAAGAGTCAATAACCTTAAAAAATCAAACACTGACATTTTCATTTTCACTTTGTACTGACATTTTAATTTTGTGAAATCATTTCCAAAACAAGATATCTAAAATGAAAATGGAAGTTAATTTTTTAAAATATCCTTAATAGCGAATATAAAAGCACAGTGTTTTGTTTTTTTCCCCTTTCAGTTGTATTTAGTGTTGGGTGTACTTTCTAGGTATAAACATGAATGCTGAGAAGAATCACATGCTCTTTTAAGACTTACCGAAAATCATCCAAACTTAGGCTACCTCTGCAATAACAGATATATGAAATTGTATAAGAAAGGGAGAGAGAGAAAGCCCAGAATTAAACACTTTAGAACACAAAACAGAATTCCAAAATTTTAAAGGTTACACAAATAGCATTTATCTTTGCAAAGGGAAGAAATTTTTATGAATAACAAGTAAAGGTAAGAGGAAAACAATGGCTAACTGGTTTGAGATTTTGTAGTACAAATTCTAGGTCATTTTGTAAAGTTCTGAAAAACTCAGTATATCGGGAAATAACTGCAATTCTTTGCCTTCATTTAGGCATACACTGTTTGATATAGTGAAAAGTATGTAGAAATTAAGTCACCTAATAAACCTTGGCACAAAAAAAACTTATATTTTCCAACATACATGCTTTACACATTTTTACTTTGAATATTTTTTAGAAGTATGACTTAAGCTAAGAATATTTTTTAAAGTACGATTTAAGTTAAATGATATCAAAATATTTTTTAAATTATGCTTTGAGTATGCAATGAAACAGAACATTAAGATACATTAAAAGCCTACTTTTAAAATGCAAATAAAATTTCAATACTTTTAAAATGTAGACAAATCTATAAAAAATTCATATTTTGTAAATCGTCTAGCAGCAAATCAACAAAAGTACTCTAAATTTTCAGTGAAAGGATGTAAAGAATCTTATTCTATTCTATATAGTTAAATGGTCATGAATTATTACTGAAGCGAAAATGCTTACAAGATTGAAAGCTACTTTAAAGTCAGGTCAAAATACAGGGAAAAAAAAAAACACTTCAAAAAGACCATAACTACAACACAGAATAAGAAGAATGCATATTTTCTTTCTGTATATTATATATTTTAAAGTCAGCAAAATCATACTTTAATATGTTGAAGATAGCAAGTTGTTCTCAAAGCAGCAAAGAAATTATGACCCTGACTTTAGCTAGTCAGCAGACTTAAAAGATCAAAGAACTGCTTCCTTTAGAAGGGTTCTATACAGGAGGAGCTTTATTAAGCACAATATTCTACTTCTATTTCTTTCTTTAGGTCATTTAATTCCACACCTATGTTTCCAGGGTTGGAAGTGAAAGGGAGGAAAGTTCTCTACTTTTGTAACCATTAAACACTAGAATGAGTAGTTTCTGGGGGTTAAAAACTCAAAAAATAAAAACTGTTGTCTAAAATGGGTTATTTGGGAATATCATTTATGCATGCAGTCTTTAGTCTCCAATAAAGAAGTGATCAAGCACTAATACGCATTAATCATGAAATTAGTAAGACAATGGCCTTTATCTTGTTAACTTTTCTATATGAACATTAGATGTTTTTAGGTTATTATATGTAGTACAGTTCTACAATTAAGTAAAATATCTTGTTTATTAATGTGGCAATGACCCACAAACTCAGAGAAAAATCACAAATAATTAGACAATGATGCCAGCACAGAATGATAAGCACCAAATACAAAAACAAAACATATACGTGATTGAATACACCTACCTGTTGAATTTTGAATTGCGTGTTGGTGATTCTGCACCTCTTAAAAGTTGTCTGAAATACTTCAAAAATAATTATGATTTATTAAACTAAAATTTTATGAAATATGCTACTCTACCTTATAGCTCTTTTCAGCTTAAAGAAAATATTATTTAAATTCAGCAAATAAAACCAAAGTCAAGTAAAGTAAGGATTAAAATATTACAAATTGAGATGTTGAAGTAAAATTCCCACTGCTCTGTAAATAAGGAATATACAGAAATATATGGGGGTTTTGTATCAGTACTACAAAACCACTCAAGCATATGACAAACCAGGTAACCAATTTGGTCACAATGTAACCACCACATATACACAAATGTGGTTTTGGTTTTAAAATTAACTTTTAATCTTAAATTATTTAGCAAAAAATAAATATTCACTTTCTTAATTCAGGTTCTATCTTTCTGAATCATTTGAATCATTTACCAAACAACAGCAAGGTCACTATTAAATTTTAAAGGAAAATCTGCAAACAAAATTAGTATTTTGACATACCTCATCACTATGGCAGAACATAGGAGTAAATACATTCTCCAAAAGAGAAAGTACATGCTCGTATGCTTCAAAAAGACATCTCATAGTTTGAAGTTTCACAACATCTATATAAGGTCCTTCAGCAACTATTTCAAAAAATGACATTGTAGAAACTTATGAACAGCATAAATACATTATGTATTATTTTAAAATTCATGGCAATGAAAGAGCAATCCTAAATCCTACAATTAATCCTATAATTATGTTTTGCTGAAACCCCACTGTAAGTACAGCAAAATACAGAGGATGAGTAATACATTAAAACATTCATCTACTTAATAAAACAATAGTGGCTGCCTGTAGATCTCAAAACAGCTGTTGCGATGACAAATAAGGGATACAACTGAAATTTCTGAAAGATCTAAGCACTTACTTTGATATTTGACTTACTTTTTTTAATCTCTTCTACAATGAAGGGATCAAATCGAATTTTGTCAATACTTTCATCCAAACAATATGTTTTATAAATCTTCTGCAACTCCTCATGAAGAGACATCATTTCATCATTTGATAACTCAGGTCGTAAAATTCTATCATTGAATTCCTCTGGTAAGTCATGAAAATAAGAAAAAATTAATTACTTTAATATAAAACTATTCATGAGAACTTCCTGTGCTCAGTCTAACTGTAATCAAAATTAAAAGCAATAATTATTTTTTTAAAAAACTACTTCTCATTTTAAGCATCCTTAAAAGATTTAATTGGAAGTAAAATCACTTCAAATCAAAAAACTCAACCACATACTTTACATACCAATAAAAAATATATAAATATTTGCATAGAATACAAATATTCTAAAATTTGAAACAGTAGACACATTGCTAAAATTTTTTTAGAGAACATATTAAGTTAATTTATACCAAGGGATCTTTGATTTTGGAATCTGATTTACAAAAAAAGCATTATATTGAATGAATGAAGGTAGGCACAAAGGAATATATACTGTATGATTCAATTTACATACGGAAAATGTATAGTAAAACTAATCTGCATTTAGAGAAGTAAGACCGGTTATCATTTTGGCATTAGTGGAAGCAGGGATGATCATTTGGAAAGGAACCCAGAGGTTTCCTTTCTGAGACAAAGGATAGACACATTTGTCAAAACTTATCAAACTGTACATGTCACCAAATAACTTATATCTCAATTTTTAAAAAGTTGTACTTAAAAAAAAAAGAAATTAGTTGCATTAAAAAACATTAATCTGAAAAAGGCTGCAGCTCAGAACCAGAGACCTGAGGATAGCCACAGACCTGTTGCTGACCTTTGTCCCAGCAGCCCTGACAAAGCCCTGGATATAAACTGAGACAACACA